GGATAGTTTGCGGAATTTGGTAAATGAGTAAGGGTCATAAACAATTGTATTAATTGTTCTGGTGTAATTATTAAAGGATGAAGATTATTTGATTTCGCAAATAGATTGGAGTTTACTAGGTTTGAATATTCATTTTGTAATTCAGCGATGAATAATGTTAATAAAGAGAAATGTTCTTCAATTCTTTGCTTGAATTCTAAATTAAAATATTGTTTTTGCGTTTTGGATGTATAGTTCGTAATTAATTCGAAATTTTGATCGAATATATTTTTGTTATAATCGAGATTCGTTATTGTATTGTTAAAATTTGAAATGGTTGTTTTTACAACTTGGATTTGTTGTTTCAATAATTGAAGTAGTTCTTTCTCGTTGCCTTCAGCTTTGTTTATGGCTTCATTATATCTTTCGGCATCGTCAGAATCTAAAGTTCCAAAAAGAGTTTTAAAGACTGAATCTATGGCATTAAAAAGTGCCCTCTTTTGTTTGTGAGTTTGATAATTAATAATGTACTTTACCGTCTGATCACTTTTGAGTAGAGAAGGTAAGGTTTGTTGCAATAATTTCAGGGGTGTGTCTCATAATTTTAAATTTCCAATTAGGGTTTGATCTTTACAGAGTTCGATGGTTTTTCGAAAGGTTGATTCTACAAAATTCAGTTTATCTGAAAAAGGTTTTAAATAGATATATGATATTAAGTTCCAATGACCTTCGAAGAATTTCACGTTTCTCACGTGTTCATAATAGTTATCAGTTGTTTTAGTGACTGGCGTAATTGAGTATTGACTGTGACCTATCGTGAGCCAGGTGATGCTGCACCTGCAACAAAAGCATGTTTCAGTTTATTCATGTGAACTTTCATACGTCTTTTTCCTACTAAAATAGTACAATTCACTGGTAGATTTACCTCAAGAATTTTGTAAGGTTCGGTGTAATTTTGGGTAAGTTTCTTACTACGCCCTTGCTTTGTTTTTTCATTTAGTAGATAAACATATTGACCTTCTGAGAAATTCACATCTCTTACGTTTTTATCATAATAACCTTTGTTTGTTTGTTTAGATGTAATAGATTGTTCCTAGCTATTTCTCGTGATTTTTGTAATTTTAAGGTGAGGTTATCCAGATAGTTATCATAGGTACATTTAAATTCAGGTGGTTTTAAGATACTACTGGGGAGGTTTGGTTTTATTCCAAACATTAACTCATATGGAGTGAAATTCGTGGATGTGTGCGTTGTTGTGTTATATGAATACATAGCGAAATCGATCCAATTATCCCAGTCAGTTTGATCATCCTGTATATCCAGACAAGTTTATTTCTTTGACATGATTCGCAACCTTTTATAAAGGTTTTTATATCCTTCTTCATGTTTTTTCATTTGAATATTTTTTTAATATGATTATAAGTTCTGTGAAAGCCTGAGTGACCGGATGAGGGGGATATGTGGTTTTCTTGTAATACCTTTTCAATGTCCTCGGGTTCCACCTTAGTCAAATTATCATTAAAAATTCTTATTTGGATATCAGTGTTCCTAAAGATAAATCTAATCATGCAACGGATTTTATTCCAATTTAGTCTGNAAGATACTACTGGGGAGGTTTGGTTTTATTCCAAACATTAACTCATATGGAGTGAAATTCGTGGATGTGTGCGTTGTTGTGTTATATGAATACATGGCGAAA